GAATGTCCTGAGGTGAGTCCCCTATGTGCTCATGGGTGCATTCTAGAGAAGATTGTCAAATGTGGACGACCACTTCTTGTGGAAGAAACAAGAAAGGACATTTTTTGGTTCTGTTTGATACAGATTATTTTTCACTTATATGGAAGATGAAATTTCTGCGTTGTGCATTTATAATTTTATCTTTTAGTGGGAGCACTGTTAAACTCATCAATCGTCCATGGATTTCAGCTGTGGGATCGTTCAGCAAACAATTTCTATCCTTTGTCACTCCACAACTATTGGTATGTTTACTTACAAATATATTGTGACTTTATCTGAAATATCAGGTTAAATAAACGGGAATAACCTGTGAAGAATAAGTATTGTAAATTGACACTAGATATCAGAATCCTACCGATTTTAAACATAATTACAATGGAATTATTAAAATGAAAATTACTGAATCATGAAAACCTATGATCTGTAATTTTCAGAACTATAATTTCGAGCACTGTGATTACATCTTATTCAGCATGTGATCGTAATATCAGTTGAGGAACCATCGAAATCAACTCAGTATTGGCCAACAGTTCCCTGGTCTGGAGGGCCTCTCTAGTAGTAGTATGCATCCGAGCAATCGAACGCAATATCTTCGAGTTTGCCAGCTGACCATTTAGCCACTGGAATGGCAACCAGTTGTCGATGAATACTAACTCTCCACCAAATCGTAGGATAGCGACACCAAAGGCCAATTTAATCGACGAGTATTTCTCATCATATCTGACTTGTTGAAGCTCCTGTGATCACAGCTCATCACTTAAATTTCACTCAACTTCACTTTGTAATCAGTCGCAAGTGATGACTAGAGCTAATTTCCAGTGTTTTAATTTTTAATAGGAATTCGTTCAGCTTCACAGTTTGATCATTAGCTGAAAACGTCTATTCTGTTTAGTGTAGAAGTTATCGGCTAGCTTGATGTTTAGTAAGCTGTGAGTCCAGGCTAGACTAACGGATACAGAGAATCACATTGGAATCCGCATATATAGTAAATCTATTGCTGTAAGACAATCAGGTGTGTAATGCTATTGTATGATATAGACTAGATTTATAACTGCTGTAATAAACATGACTGAGCAGTGCACTAATATGCACCTGTCGGTGGTTATGGTCTGTGAATACCAACCTAGTATAAAGTATGTTGCATAGCATCACACGTTTTGCACACGTTTCCTTAATTCCCATCGGAATGTCTATAAAGTTCACCGGGGTACCTTAACGTAATTCAGATCCAATACGAAGTTTGATAAATATACAGTGTTTCACCAAAAAGTTACTACATATCCATTAATTCCTGTTATTTTTTAAAATATGTCTTCACAAATCTCTAAACGCTGATTTCTTTACAATGATAAAAGGCTTTATTTTATTTCATTTGACAAGGCTGAAGGACGTAAACACTATAACTGTCCCAATCTGGATGGGATTGATATAGAGAATGAAGGTGGTGAAGGAACCGTTGGCACACATTTTGAAAAACGCACAGTCGGTGTAAGTCAATAACCTGGAAATTTTCTACTAACTTTGCAGTTGTATTTGTCATTGTTGTTAAACGGTATTCAGCAATACGTTGTGTGATACCATGCTCTTCCATCTGGCGCAATATCCAATCTTAAACCATACTTTTCACCTCATTTCCTTTGAGTAGTGCTCTGAATTACGAGTAACACCTAAGTAAAATATGTGCGGGTCCATGTAGCGACTCGAGAACACTATTAGATGATTAGAACAATAAATTATGGAAGAGAGTTTGTGCATCATACTGAATAGAAATTTAGGTAGCCTGGTGATTACAACACGTCACTTCTACTGGCGTAGAATCAAACAGAACTCAGACCAAATTTTAGATTAGAATAAAACGACAACGTGTTAGGATCTGTGCTCGTTTTAGCAATTCTCAGTGCTCTTTAATACAATACAAATATACAAAATGCCTGAACACTATTTATTACAGGATGAAATTATGGCAGGTGTAACTGGCGTGAAGACAGTCGCATCACGATTGACACTGGCATTCTTCAAGGATTCTGGGTGAGTTAAAAGACGAAAAGCTTTTTTTTTGAGGTATCTGTGCAAGTGAATTACTACTAAATATATACTATTTTCATTATGCTTCATATAATTGTTAGTGTAGAATTGTTTTATCTCACTGTGTATGCCATACAGCTAGCAGAATGCTGTCTCAGTGGGTAAATTAATTCTAACCTCGTTAGGGATGAGTATTAAAATGACATACCATTTTACTCATTTCATTTAGTCGATGATAGTTGGCGGTTTTATTCAGGTCTCAGGACTTGGCGTATTTGGGCCTGCTCATATAAATGTGCCTGCATTGTAAGAGGGTGATGCTTTTCGCAGTGATACTCGAATTCAGGATTCGTAGTCTCGACTATCTGAATATTATCCATTAGTCCATTACTATGCACCAGGTAATAGTTGTTATTTCTTGTAATTATTAGTGTGAATTTCGTGATGACTGACCTTATTGGACTGAAATGTTTGATTTCTGTTGACATGTCGGCTTTTAATGCTGACGCTTTGACAACAACTTAATGCTAGTATGATGATAACTTATGTTAGAAAAGATAAATACGTGTTCAAGTTTCAAAAGGAGCGCCATGGATGAATAAGTGTGAAGGCATATCCAGCTGATGAGTTTTGAGTAGCAGTTTATAAGGTTTTGTGAATTACACTTTTGACTCGCATCGGCTATATTAGACCATGTTAAACTGGAACCCGAATCGAAGCGTCAGTAGTGGAGGATTTCGGTTCAATAAACAAATCACCGGGAAATTCATTACAAAAATCTCAATGACATTTAACCATCTTCTTCATGTCTAAATGAGTAGTTAATCCATGATTCAATAAATATGGAAGAGACGTTGATTAGTCACTAAGAAAACTCAGTATTGCAAAATGAGTACCTCAATAACACAGATGTACAGATGCAGTCTAAACATTCAACCATAATAGACGTGATGAATAGTTATTTACTCATGGATCACATAATATGATCACGGATTTATACCAGCTAGAGAACCACTGAAAACCAGGAGGTAGTACTCGACAGCTGTTTCATCCTAGTTTGTGACTCTTCGTCAGTACGTGCCAGTGACTCCAATGGGAATTGAATTCAGGATCTTCTGACTGAGAAACTAAGCTCGTCGATCACCCAACAACTTGGTTCAGAATTCAGTGGTGCTACCACTTGCCAATATCATCGACGCATATTTGTCATCAGACACAATTTGCCGAACCTCACTGGTCACAACATGTTAGTAGAGTCTCATTTGGTAATTCAACGTTAAATCAGCATTGTTTAAGCCTATCCCACTATACCTGAGGTTATTACACTGGGCCAATTGTAAGTGAGCGAGACATACTTCAATAAGTGTGTTTATTTATTAAGTATGAAATTATCGTGTGGATAATAAACACAGTTACATAAAACACATTCGCTAAAGTTAGAAATTGTCATAACAACGATACATAAGGTAATGCTCGAATTAAGTTTCCCTTTTCACAATTACGAATTCTCTTCTTGGATGCTGATGGCTGTATTCCTTTCTTCCAATAATAGTTGGTGGGACGTCGATTTCTCACTCGCTGAAAAATGGGACTATGGCAAAGGACTCGGCTGTAGCTTTGTAATGGAAAGCTGTTATGCGTATATCAGCAGAATGAAGCAACAGTAAGTCATCCAATGCATGCTCAGTGAGTGTCATAGTGACTGTTTACAGATTATAATATTTGCTCGAATGGAAGTACACTAGCTTTGATTGCATAATCTTATATTTATTTACTCATTGGAAGATGAATTCAAATTGATATTGACATTTTGTGATGTTTCAGGGGAAAGAGTATTGAACCGTATTGTGAAGAGAAGAGTGATTTGATGTGTTATCACAAAACCGCCT